AAAAAAAAAAAAAAAAAAAAAGAGAAATGAACAAGGAAAATACCTCCCATGGTTTCCCAAGCCTGGCGAAATTGCTCTTGTTCCTGTGCAACTCCTGAAGGTGTCAGCTGTCAAATCCTGTTCACTAAAGTACCTCTTCACTTAGGCCTGTGATTTGGGAGTCTTCAAAAGCACAGGCTTTGGGATAAGGAGCTAGGGTCTACACTTGGAAATGTGACTTTGTGGCTTAAACTCTTCTACCTTCTTGTTTGTTTGTTTGAGACAGGGTCTCACTCTGTCGCCCAGGCTGGAGTGCAGTGGTGTGATCTCGATCTTGGCTCACTGCAGCCTCCACCTCCTGGGTTCAAGCAATTCTCCTACCTCAGCCTCCCGAGTAGCTGGGACTATAGGCGTATGCCACCATGCCCCCCTAATTTTTGTATTTTTAGTAGGGATGGGGTTTCTCTATGTTGGCCAGGCTGATCTCACACTCCTGATCTCAAGTGATCTGCCTGCCCTAGCCTCCCAAAGTGCTGGGATTACAGGCATGAGCCACTGCACCCGGCCTACACTCTTCTATCTTTAGTTTGCTTATCTGCAGGGTTGTGATGATAACTGAATGGGACAATCCATGCTAAGGTGTAAGAAATGTGAGCCATTGTTTTTACTAGATCTTACCTGAACATCATACAGGAACTGGAATTGGCTTCTTTTACTCGCAGCCTCTCTCACAGCCCGAGCCAAGTCCACCGACCCCTTTCCACCAACCGACCAGTGATAGCAGGGGACTGCATCAAAGGCACCAGCCCGCTTTGCAAGCTCACACACCAAGTCAATCTCAGCGCGGGTGTCAGTCCTGGTGAAGAAAATGTTTGTGGTTTTGCATCTGTATCCATTTAGCGATGTTTTGAAAGAAAGACTAACCATTTATACAGAACTTCGCTCCCTAACACTGAATACATTTTAAACATCAAAAGTGGTCACATCGTGTTTAAATAAATCAGACTTAAAGAAAAGCATGGAAAAAAAAATCCTCTCCAAAGTGACTCAAATATTTCAAGTTGTTAAGGGCGTTATCAAGAAAATTCCATAACATATCCCTTTGATCACTCACAGTTTGTTTCAGACAAAAATGCTGGGTAGAATTACAAAAAAAAAAAAAAAAGTCAAGGAGATAGTAACTCACTATATATAAATTTCACTTCCTTAATAACATTGTGAGAACACATTTGCTAAAATGAAACCAAACCAAATAAACAAACAGAAAGAACTGGGTATTTCTGTATACTTTTAGATGAAGCAATTCTAAATTCTAAAAAATTTTAGAAAGACCAAATACCCCAAGACACAAATATCGTTCACAGGGTGGCCTAGTGATAATGCCCACATTTAAAGGAGGAGGCCGGACTTACTTGAAGACATTCAGAGCCACCACAACGGGAACCCCAAAGAGCTGAGCGATCTGAATTTGCTTTTGGAGGTTACAGCAGCCATCTGCCACCAGCTGGATGTTCTGTAAAAAAGAAAAAAGCAAAACCCAGACCCCTGTGTATTGCCTCCCACCAAACCTGCCAAGCTAAACTGGCAGCACCTCTCTGGCAGGATTTGTGACATCTTTTTTCATTTTTTCCTCCAAGAAAGATGGCTGCAAGAATAAGGAGGTTCGTCTGCAAAAAAATTTCTAAAATGATTCTGGGTCCAATGGCATATGTGTGGGTCTGAAGCCTGGCAGCTCATACTGCTGCGTACAGGCTGCAGGGTCTACGCAACGTGCCCATGCTCTGCAGGTTGGGGCCTGACAGGCATAAGGCCCCAGGTGGGTGAGGAGCTCTGTCCAGGTATTCCTGGCTCAGATCCCTGGCGCCACCTGTAGGAGCTATGAGGTACTGCTGCCAGTAAATCAAAGTCTATTTACAGGAAAGTGTAAGCCACTCCTGTAAGTCATAAAGCCAACTGTATATAGACCTTCCATGACAAAAGAATACAGAAGTGTAAACTTCATATTTGTTTCTGACCTGGAGACCTTGAGTTCCTGCTCTGATGGCTATCCTGGGGGTAGACAATAGTAGACAAAGCCTATATCCATCTTTTCTTGATATTTAAGAGTTAATTGAATGAATTTTATCCTTTCACCCCACCCATTTCCTCTTGGATTCTTAGAACAGCACTTTTCTTTTATTTTTTTTGAGACAGAGTCTTGCTCTGTCGTCCAGGCTGGAGTACTGTGGTGCGATCGCCGCTCACTGCAACCTCCGCCTCCCAGGTTCAAGCAATTCTCTTGCTGGGACTACAGGCGTGAGCTACCATGCCCGGCTAATTTTTGTATTTTTAGTAGAGATGAGGTTTTGCCATGTTGGCCATGGGTTTTGCCTGGCTGGTCTTGAACTCCTGGCCTAATGTGATCTGGCCGCCTTGGCCTCCCCAAATGCTGAAATTACAGGTGTGAGTCGCTACGCCAGCCAGAACAGCACTTTTCTAAGGGATCACTGAAGGATGGCTCATTCACTGAAAGCCAACGAGTCACCGGATTTGAGAGATTCTTCACATAAGTGTCTAAACAGCTCCTCTTACCTCCTCTGTATATTCTTTCTTAAGAGGAACACCGGCGGTTACCTGAAATAAGGAGAGAAAACGTGAAGAATAATCCTATAAAAATGCTTACACAACTGATCTGAAAGAAAGAACACCACAATCACATTCAGTTTTTAGAAAGGTACCCCTACATTTTGTGCTTTTAAAACAGTAGCTGGCGGCACTGGCTGAACCTAAACTCTCGTGGGAAGCTTTTCGAAAACACTGATCCCTGGGCTCCACCCAGACCAATGAAAGCAGAAGTTCTGGGAGGGAAACCTGGCATCCATAACGTTTAAAATCTCCCTGGATGATTCTAATTTGAGCCAATGGAACAGTATGAAACTTCGCAAACATTGGTTCAAATTAGAACATAAAACTAATGATATGTTTAATACCTGATTTATACAGAGTACATCACCATTTGAAATCATTTTACGGTAACTGCCACAAAGCTCTGTTGTCCAGGCTGGAGGGCAGTGCATGATCACAGCTCACTGCAGTCTCAAACTCCAGGGCTCCAGTGATCCTCCTGCCTCAGCCTCCCCAGTAGCTAGGAATATAGGTGTATACCACCACACCCAGATAAATTTTTATTATTTTGTAGAGACAAGGTCTTGCTATGTTCCCCAGGCTGGTCTCAAACTCTTGGGCTCAAACAATCCTCCCACCTCGGCCTCCCAAAGTACTGGCATTACAGGTGTGATTCACTGTGCCTGGCCTGGTGGTTAATCTTATGTGTCAACTTTGCTGGGCCAGAGGGTGCCCAGTATTTGTTCAAATATTATTTTGGGTGTTTCTGTGATGGTGTCTATGATGAAACGAACATGGAAATCAGCAGCCTTTGAGTAAGCAGGTTGCCCTACATAATGTGGCTTGGTCTGAGCTGATCAGTCAAAGGCCTTTTTGAGTATAACAGAAAGACCGGCCTCCCCTGAGTGCAGGAGAATTCGCCAGCAGACTGCTGCCTGCACACCGCACTAGCACCCCTGGCTCTCCGGGGTCTTCAGCTTGCCAGCCCACAGTGCAGGGTTTGGACTTGCCAGCTTCTGTAATCATGTGACCCAATTCCTTAGAATAAATATCTTTCTCTCTCTATACACACGTCCTATTGATTCCATGTGTGAAGAACCCTGATTCACACAATGGTTAGTTTAAAGAACTAATTGTGAAAGAATCTGTGGATCCCAAAGCATAGCAGAATATTAGCTGTTGGATTGCACAGGGAATGGCCGAGCATTTTGGGGGACAGGATGTGAGTTTAAAATGACTGAGGCTAAAATGGGCAAATTCAAGGGCCACAAGGTTTTCCACTGTACAAATTATGGAAAAAAAACAAGCTGAATAAACATAAGAGGCAGCCATGGTTATTTGTGTAATGATCAAAAGGAAGTCGATCCCAGCACAATATCTGTAGAAAAAAGAAAAAGAAAAACAGAAAACAGAAGTAGAAATGAATAATCATGGCTCAAAAATACAGAGCTATTCAATAAGAAGGAAAGACACCGATATGAGCACTATGGAATAGAGGATTAAGAGGATGAAAGTTCATTTATCTTGCCGTTATTGAAAACACTCCCTACATACAGACTATGCCAGACACTTGGAACATACCAATTAATAAGACACAGTCCCTAAACTCAAGGAATTGAGAATTACACAGGGAGACACAGAGCAAGGCATTCATGAAACAATATGAGGCAGAAGGTACTACCGGAGCCCAGGAGAGGGATGCTTAGCTTCACCTGCTTTTTGTTTGTTTGTTTGTTGTTGTTGTTGAGACAGTTTCGTTCTTGTCACCCAGGCTGGAGTGCAATGGTGTGATTTGAGATCACTGCAGCCTCCACCTCCCGAGTTCAAGCGATTCTCTCGCCTCAGCCTCCCGAGTAGTGGGGATGATAGCCGCCTGCCACCACTAGTCTCGAACTCCTCAGGTGATCCACCTGCCTCAGCCTCCCAAAGTGCTGGGATTACAGGCGTGAGCCACCGTGTCTGACTGGTTGCCGCCTTTTCTTATCCTCCAACCGTAGCCGTGCCTACTAACCCTATTCCTTGTTACCACGATCACTGGCTGAGAACTATGACATTAAGCAGGAGTGGAAGAGACACAAAGGATTAATGTGGCACAAAAGTGCAACCGCTGAAAAACAGAGCACATATGTTAAGATGAATGAAATAGGATTGTAAAGCATGTAGAGAATTTTTACAGCACAGAGACCAGAGTCTGGAAAACTATGGGACTGGCGTCGGGAGACCCGGACTGCAGATCTGATCAGTCCCTGAAATAGATGTGAGATATCACACAAGCCACGGGGTCTCTCTGTGCCTCAGAGATTTTCTCTTTATAAAGATTGAATGAGATCAGACAATCTCTAAGCCCTTTCCATAATTTTCAGGGTGGCAGGGCAGGGAGGGAGAATTCCAAATGCATCCTACATGGGCAGAAGTAGTTTTTGGAAACAGAAGTTGTTATGCAGACTCAATGTCTAAAATCCAGGAAGGACTGTAGCAACAAGGAGTGTTTTGAGTAAAGTCAGAATTCTTTATGATTTACTACTTTTAATCTGTATTATATCATTCTTGCATTTGAAATGATGATGAGCCAGGCACGGTGGCTCACGCCTGTAATCCCAGCACTTTGGGAGGCCGAGGTAGGCAGATCACGAGGTCAGGAGATCGAGACCATCCTGGCTAACACGGTGAAACCCCATCTCTACTGAAAATACAAAACATTAGCCGGGCATGGTGGTGTGCGCCTGTAGTCCCAGCTACTCAGAGGCTGAGGCAGGAGAATGGCATGAACCTGGGAGGCGGAGCTTGCAGTGAGCTGAGATCGCGCCACTGCACCCAAGCCTAGGTGACAGAACGAGACTCCGCCTCAAAAAAAAAAAAAAAGAAATGATGATGAAGCTTTAGGCAAAAATGAAATGAAGTGCTTAAGTGTCAGGTACTAGGAGTGGATTTGGATTTAGAACACTTCTGCCCTTCATTAACATCCAGCTCTGCATGGTGGACATAGTAGATTTAGATCTGAAGTGCTCGGCACTCTGCTGGCCTGCTGACATTGTCCACATTCCCTAAGCCTATCAAACCTCAGCTTCCTTATCTGTAAAATGGTATAAAAATAATGTCCACTTCTCCCAGGACAAAGAATTGCTTTATAGTGTTTCATGATGGCAAACCCGCTTCTTGTTTTGACTATGTAATAATCACTGAATAGACGACTTTTGTCACATACACAGAACAGTATGCCAATTAAGAAATCAGATTTGGCAGTTCGTCTCATATGTGAATATTATAATGACAGAGAAATTTTATTTTATTTTATTTCAAAATGACTAATCAGTATAAAATGTCTTATTCTACACTTTGAAATTCCTAAAAATGAAACAAACGAACCACAAACAAACAAAAAAACAAACCCCCAAAATCTACGCACAGGTTTTCTGCAGAAAGGAATATACTTCCTTTATAATGTCTGTAATTGCTATATATATTAGGATAGGTAAATATCAAAAGCCTTTAAAGAAGTTAAAATCGAATTTGTGTTTTCCAAGCAAAGCTCTCTTAGAAACAATCCAGTATTATAACACAGTTGTGAGAAGAAATCATAATAAACAGAAAGAGAAGGAAAATAGTTTTAGATGAAATCTGATGAGTTACAGCATCAGTGAACCGAAAAACTATCTGTACAAACAATGAAAAATCTCAGTCATCAAAGAACTCCCTCTAATCCTCACGTTCTTCGTTCAGGGACAAGAGCCTCTAGCCGCGCATTACCATATGGTTATACAATCTTGGCCTGAGTATCAGATGTGAGGCTTAAGATTAAAAAGTGGTTGCATTATGCTCCTTTCCAAAATGTTGTTTAGGAAAGAACTGTGGGTGTTACTGTTTACTCGAACTTACTAAACTCAAAGTGCCCTATGGTGGCGTTGGAAAAAAAAAAAAGAGTTTTTAGATGTCCACAAAGGAGGTCTACAGGAAAAAAAAAGTTTTAGAAAAAAATACTCTAGAAAACTATAGTCATTAAACAGGCAGGAATTTTTTAAATGCTCAATTCTGTTTTAACATAGTGCAATTTCTTTGGTATTAGGAAGGTGGTGTGGGCACTTACACTTGGCCCGCCTCCATGCATCTTCAGAGCTCGCACCGTTGCCACCAACACAACCACGTTGGGCACCAAGCCGGAAGCTCGGCACTTGATGTTGAAGAATTTCTCCATTCCGATGTCAGCACCAAAGCCAGCTTCGGTCACTGTGGAGAAGCAAGTGGAATATGCGCTATTATCTTCTAAAAACAAAAGTAGGTTTTGGCAAACACCACTATGATTCGAGCTCAAAGGACAGCTTACATTCCTTTTGTTTACCAACACAAAGGTAAACTGATTTCCCCACTGTCATAGAAAGGTTCTTCATTCTCTGCCCTAAAGAGACTGCGCCCTTCTCTGCTTGACGCCACCAGGCCTGAGGGATTCCTTGTGGTGACCAGGTCAAGACTTTTCTTCCAATATCAAAGCTCACAGCGAAGCTTTTTTTTTTTTTTGAGACGGAGTCTTGCCCTATCGCCCAGGCTGGAGTACAGTACAGTGGCGTGATCTCGGTTCACTGCAACCTCTGCCTCCCAGGTACAAGTAATTCTCCTGCCTCAGCCTCCTGAGTAGCTGGGGCTACAGGTGTGTGCCACCACACCCGGCTAATTTTTTTCTTTTATTTTTAGTAGATATGGGGTTTCACCATGTTGGCCAGGCTGGTCTCAAACTCCTGACCCTTGTGATCCACCCGCCTCCCTCCCAAAGTGCTGGGATTACAGGTGTTGAGCCAAGGCGCCCGGCCAGTGAAGCTTTTCTTCATACAGATGGGGATTTTTAACTTTGTAATCAGGTTCCAAATTGTATCAAAGGGTAATGAGAGTATGATTACAATAGAAGATCCTTTCTTACTCTTTTATTTTATTTTATTTTTTTTGAGTTGGAGTTTCGCTCTTGTCCCCCAGGCTGGAGAGCAATGGCGCAATCTTGGCTCACTGCAATCTCCGCCTCCCAGATTCAAGCGATGCTGCTTCAGCCTCCCAAGTAGCTGGGATTACAGGAACCCACCACCACGCCTGGCTAATTTTTTTTGTATTGTTAGTAGAGACAGGTTTTCACCATGTTGGCCAGGCTTGTCTCAAACTCCTGACCTCAGGTGATCCGCCCACCTCGGCCTCCCAAAGTGCTGGGATCGCGTCCAGCCCTTTCTTACTCTTTATATTAAGAATAATTTATTTTAGTGCCACCCAGTCATTTCTGTTAACTGATAAATTTCAAGTTCGTTGAAGAGCATAAGGATACTGATGATCAATCTGGATACAAGACAGCAGCTTTATTAGAGAAACACCAGAAAACACTCATTTCTAGTCTCCACCCCCTCAGTTGCTAGAAAAGGTCACAGCTGCCTTTCGAGAAAGCGAGGCCCTGGGTCAGCAGCATCTTCTTCACACACAGAGAGCTCTAGGGCCTTGCTACTCAGTGTGTGGTTCATGATCAACAGCATCAGCGGTTCCTGAGAGCCTCTAAGAAACGTGGGATCTTGGGCTCCGCATAAAGTTTACAGAATCAGAATCACATTGTTCCAAGATGCCCAGGGGAGATGAATGTCCATGAAAATCTGGGAAGCAAACCACTCTAGGAAGGGAATACTACTGATTTAAGAAAAAGTAAATGTTTATGAAATACATACTTACACGCTGATAGTACGAACAGTACACAGATAGGAATTGGGAGAAAAATCGACTAAGATATCAGAAACATTTAACATGATCAGTTTCCTTGCTGTGCTACAAACTTTGAAAATTTACAATTATAAGTGGCATCTTATAATTCTGTAAAGTTGCTGTAGCAAGATTTACAAAATTGTTCCCCCTGTTACGGAACATTTGGGTTGTTTCCAATATAAACAATGCTGTACTGAAAATATCTGTGCCTATGTGCTTTAATCTCTTTCAAATTATGTTCTTGGAATAAATTCCCAAGGGTAAAGCAATAGGGTCAGAGGATATAAAATTTTTTATGACCATTGATATGCTTTTGACAAATTTAAAAAATTACATTTAAAATGTTCAATTTGGGTAAATATAGCTACAAGCCATTTATCCTTTATTATGTGTTACTTGAACAAACTATGTGGCAGAACAATTTCGAGAAATAAAAGACATTCTTTTTTATATAGTATTTGGAACAAGTCTTGTAATTTTATTAGTAGTGGTCAAAATCAGAGAAAATCACTTACAGTAACAATCCTTACCTCAGTGGTACCCCCTGGTAATGCATTTGTTAACTTTAGCATGTTGGTGGCATCATGGACCCCAAAAGAGGGATAATCCAGGTGACTTTTGTCAGAAGTCATCAATGAGTGAGCTCCTGGAGGTGGAAGGCTGGACAATAAGGCCCCAACGTGGGGCTGTCCTGCAGGTTAGCACACAGATGGGACCTTGAATCCCTCCCAGCTGTGCAACCTTGGCAAGTTCCTTGTTGGAAGGATTAAGTGAGATGGCACAGGTACATTACTGTGTCACTGGGGTTTTTCTTGGTGCATACTGAGAACTCACAAAAATAGTTCACATCATTGTAACTGAAAGGGTAATTCTCCCACTTGCTAAAAACCGTATTGAATTCCTAAGCATTTGTGGGAATTCCTGCTACATCGAGGCATTTTTCTCACAGGTAGACGCTCACTCTTAGGGTCACTACCCTGAAGCCCTGCAGGGAAGCGGGAGAGAGAACATTTGTTATTCAGTTAGAGAGCGCTGGAGGACAGCACACTGGGAGGGGCAGAGTTTGCCTGGGAGGTTCGGAGAAACAGGGTGATGGAGTCAGGCTCTGAGGATCAAGTAGGATTTTTCCAAGCAGAGAAATGCAGAGTTGGCTATGGCAGGCAGAGGGCAAGAGGAGGAAGGAGAGGGAGGAAAGAAGAGAGTCACAGGTAAAGGACAGAGCCAGGGAGGGAATGGTCAAGATGACGGGAAATTATCCGTCATGACTGTGGAAGTCATTATTTCACCAGCAAGACTGGTTCACTGGCCTGATCAGTACTGGGGAGTGGAACTGAAGTAACAAAATGTTATGCATTTTTTTCAATGCCATGGTATTTTGAAAAACTGTTTAACGTCACCCTATAGTTGGAGGTAGGTTGTTGCGTACATTTTACATAATCGGGGCTGATCAAGTGATCTCTAAGTTCTTTCCAACTGGATGCATACTTATGTGTTAATCTACCCTGTTAGACTGCAAGCTCCATGATGACACGGACCATGTGTTTGAGACATCAACACGGGAAGACACATAGAAGGCCCTGAAGGAAAGTCATCATCTATCTCCAAACCAAATAAAAAGAGAGTAGCAGAAAAGCACATCTAAAAACACTTGGACACAAATATATTAATGAAAAGTTTCATTTGTAACCATTGAATGCCCTTGAAAAATTGCAAGCTCAAATTCCCTTCAAAAACCTACCTCCTCCACACTTCGGTGTGCCTGTGTAGTCACCATGTTCTCCTATCTTCACTGGTTCCTGCTTCCCTAAAGTGCCTTAATATGAAAGTCAAGGCCGCCCTCATGTAAAGTTCCTTCCCCGACCTTCATCTTCCTCCACACTCCCTGCCTCAGACCTCATGCCTCTGGAATATCAAGCTCCCAGCACAGCCCACAAATGCTGTTACTTGTCGTCACCTCCAGACCTCTTTTCCCATGTGGAACATTCTTCTCTCCCCTCTCTGCCTCTTTAACCCGCTGTCCAAGACTCAGCTTGGATGTGCCATTTCCTGGAAGCTTGTCCTGATGCTTTCAGGCAAAGTTGACTACTCCTCCCGCCCGTCCCATCCTCCCGGTCCTGTGGTGTGCTCCCTCGCAGGGCCCTCATCTGTCACCACATGCAGCATCCTAAGTACACTGATGTGCCGTCTCCCACGTGGAGGATGGGACCATGCCTTATTCATCTTGTAGCTCCACTTCCTTAACACAGTACCTGGCATAAGCAAGTCAATGAAAAAACAGGATAAGACTTCGGAGCCAGTAATGATGTCAAGGCCACACATCAATGGAAATAGACACATAAAATAGAATTACATAAAAGTACAAATATGTTCTGAGTCCTCCCTATACTTTCCTTTTTTTCTTATAATACTAAAATGGTTTTACTAAAAGGCACAAATGTCATATCTGACAAAGACGTGACCATCTAAAACATCTACACAGGCTAGCTAAGCTTAATTTCATATTTTTATTTATTTATTCACTTATTTTTGAAACAGAGTTTCATTCTTGTCGCCCAGGCTGGAGTGCAACGGCACGATCACAGCTCACTGCAACCTCTGACTCCTGGGTTCAAGTGATTCTCCTACCTCAGCCTCCCAAGTAGCTGGGATCACAGGCACCTGCCATCATGCCCGGCTAATTTTTGTAGAGACGGGGTTTCACTATGTTTTATTTTTAAAAAGAGACAAATTGGAAACAAAAAAGTAGTAATAAAGAGAACTCCAGCTAGGGGACGAAAATAACATGCAGAAGTAAAGGTTCGAGGACTCTGGCTTCCAAATGCAAAGGAAATAGACAAAGAACGGGAAGAAAATAGAAGAAAGTGCCAAATTCTTCCACTTTGAAAACTGTCCTGAAATGCTGCATGTAATCACTTTTATGTTGTTTGTATTCAAATATCAGGCTGCCAAGGAAAGAGAACATGGATAAGGTATGCTGATGTGTAATCAGTAATTGTGAAAGTAAAAACTACTTTCATAAGGTGCCACCAATCACTACGAACTTGGACACGGCGGAGTGCTGTGTTTCTGTGCCTTAGGGGGCCTTGACAGGAAGACCCACCTTGTGAGAAGGGGGCAAACCACTCTTGGTGGAAGGTTCCATTTCCTAGGTACTTCTTGGGAACTGCCAACATATACAACCTATAGGTTAAGTTTTCTTAGTGACTTGAAATAAACAATTTATTCCCTTATCATATTTGCAGTCCTTAACGAAGCTTAAAAGAGATACAGGCCAAATAATTATTTAATGTTAAATTCAACATAGACTTGCTCTTAAGTCATGAAGCAAGCCCACATAGTAGGATTTAGCTTTGCTGAAAGGCACATCATGTAGACTTCTGAAAGCTGCATATTTAATAAGGCTTGCAATAAAATGTTTGCACAAGCCGTAAGAATTATTTGTCTTGGCAATCTCTTTCCCTTTTGTTACAGCTATTCAACTTACAATATGAATGAAAACAGGA